ATAAGTTTTTAGTAAGATGTAATCATGACCCTAAATATAGGGGTAACGCTACCTGGATAAGATTACCCCCCTTTGTTGGATTTCACATAATATTACCGGGTGTTTTTATGAGAGTAAATACGGTATAAGTCTATTTTTATAACACTATTTAGTGGTTATCTTAAAAGTCATAAACAATTTGTTTGAAACGAAACATTGAAACAGTAGATGAAAATCAGGTTTTTATTAATGCAATGTATTTTTCCTAACATTTTTTAAGGACTAATTTATCGCTATTTATTCAATACATTGCATGAAAAATGGTTTCAATGGTTTTACGAATGCATTAATTACTATTAAAAGCCTTGAAAATTCACTGCCAGTGACATTGAACCGAGTTTTCGATGTTTAAAAATATAGTTATGATTAACAGTAAACTTATCTTAAGTTTTTTTTTCATTTTAATGATTCACACAAAGTAATTCACTACAAATTTGGTAATTATTGTGTGATTTATACATACGTTAACTATAATGTATGTAAATATGTATTTATAAGTGTACTTATTGTACCCGAAAAGTAGCACAACTTGTTTCAAATTATTATTACCTGTTTTATAACTATAGTATCTATTATTTAATAGGTTTTTAAAGTTTTTTTACAGATATTTTATATTTTTTATTGTGTTGTGTTTTGTTTGCCGTTTAATTGAAGTTTTTATTTAAACAGTGTTTTTGATTAAATGTGTTTTCTATCGGAGCAATAGATTTATATTATTTTATTGGCTTTTAATGGCATGTGATATGAATCTACTATTTAGTCGTGTCTTTCAATCAACATTTACTATATTTGCCGCTTTTCGATGACATTTAATTGTATTGTAAGTATTTTTCAATTATATTCTAATTGAATATTATTTTTTACATGTGATATGAATCTACTATTTAGTCGTGTCTTTCAATCAACATTTACTATATTTGCCGCTTTTCGATGACATTTAATTGTATTGTAAGTATTTTTCAATTATATTCTAATTGAATATTATTTTTTGCGGTCATTATTACTGACATTCAATTTTACATTTAATGAATTTATGAATATTAATGAATTGTTTTTATAACACATGTTATTAACAGAATTTATACATTGAATAGTGGATTCTTTATGAGTCTTATAATATGTGTATTTATAGTGTATTTCTCATAAATATAAATAAATTTTTTGATGAAATACTAATCATTATCAGCGATAATATAGTCGATAATTCACCACATGTTTTGTTTAATGTTTAATTTAGCACTTTCTTGACATTTTCGATACTAACGTATATTAACGTATATTTCTTGGATTTTGATTTAGTTGTTAAGTAACAGTGAATGCCATAAATATTATTCATATATATTTCCATATCCTATAACTTAATAATTAAAACGTGGGTTTTGTTAGCAATATCCTGATCAAGATTATAATGGCAACTTTTATCGCAGATTATAATAAATCAAAATTCTATATCAATTATTAAACATTGTTAATTTATTTTATGATCTTAAGTAATGTTTATACTGTATGTATTNAATATTATTCATATATATTTCCATATCCTATAACTTAATAATTAAAACGTGGGTTTTGTTAGCAATATCCTGATCAAGATTATAATGGCAACTTTTATCGCAGATTATAATAAATCAAAATTCTATATCAATTATTAAACATTGTTAATTTATTTTATGATCTTAAGTAATGTTTATACTGTATGTATTGATTATACACACAATAATTCACACCATGTTTTCTCGCAAATACCTTGAACAAATATTTATTCAGTAATTGTTATTGTAAATGTGAAGTGAACTTCAAACCTATTAAATTTATAATTTTGTATAATTTATATGTTGTAAATCAAAACTTGTCAAAGAGGTAACTTTATAACAACTTCTGGTAATATGTTTAATAAATGTCGATTAAATTATAAATATTATGATTGTTATAACAACAGTGTTTGCATTTAGTAATGAACTTTCAATAACTAATTATACAGTACATTAAAATTCTCGATAATTATCAAAACATTAAATGTTAAAACAATTTATTTCCTTTTAGACGTCGTGTTTAGACAAATACATTATTTAACATGTATTGCAAAACTCAACACAAAAAAACAAATGAGTTTTTCGTGTTGAACACAGGCATCAAGTTTTAGGCAAAGGATATCCACTGAGAAAGTGAGATGTGTTTGCATAGCGACTGATCAAGTGTTTTATTTTTAGCTTTTATTCTCACTGTTATTTTATTCTTGTAATGTTTGCTTAAAATCTAGACTAAATTTGTTTTTACTTTTTGACTTCATTTCATGGATTGGTTTGATTTTTGTTAAAATTTTATTTTGTGTATAAAAATTCTGTTATATTTTTTTATTTTGTTAATTATTAATTAGCTATTGTTTTATACATTGGGTTATTGACAGTAATTCAACATTTATTGAATAGTATACGTCTGTAAAACAATTATTGTATTATTATATTCATTACAGACAATCACTGAATTTGTTTTATTCATTTTACTATACGTTTGTTTGTAATGGTATTCAGTGTTTGAAAAAATACACTTTCATTAACTCATAAAATGTAATCACATTTTAAATTTACTGTGAAATGTCTTTTACACGTCAATTAAGTATAGACTTAAAGCTATTTTAAGCACAGATTCTGTGAATTGTTAGCAATAATACTAATAATATCTTATATTTGTTTTGTGTGAATATTAGGCCCAGAATTGAGCGATGAATTGATGGCATAAAACGGCAACAAATGAGTTGCACTATAATAGAGGAGATACCGATCGGGAGGATTGTGGCCAACGATAACGGCCTCTTGAGTACCATCACGAACGGCGTCTACACCAATGAACACCAGAAACGGATTGATTTTGTGTTAGTCTTTCGGAACAAAGACAATGAAAAGTCCGGTAAAAGTACGGCTAAAGAGCGGCAGATATTTGAGGTATAAATTAGTTTTTTGATATTTTTGTGAAAATAATTTACTAAATATTTTTTGATTTGTTTTGCAGACAAATCTCACTGAAGAGGGACTAATACTGGAATACGCGGACAGTGTTGGCAACGATGAGTACACTTATGTGCAAATCTACGCGCCGTGGGATCTGTTGACCAGATATGCGGAAGTGATGAAACTCCGGATGCCTATGA